CATAGAACTTACGGTTACATCTATCCAACTCAATTGTAAATTGATGAGACATCGTAGTCAACCTCGTACTGCACTTAAATTCATAAAGTCTAGGTACCATAACGAATAGTTCATCCGAACCATTACCATGAAAGCATTTGTAGAGAAGGCAAAAGGATGCAATATTATGACGGTAAGAATGTGACTCAAGCATAGACCACTGATCAGGACCCATAATATTTCTTCTTTGGCTTTAGATAAATAACAGGAACGCCGAACCATATATGGCAACAATATTTTAAGCATGGCCGAATATCAGACTTATAGATATTTAAGATAGATTCTGGAGAGGAAAAAAATATCTAGCACGACACAGTGAACTGATTTTCCTAGCATCAGACCTAGCAATGAATTCAATATAATCTTTCCACTTCATGTCAGCCGAGAACGTTAGCACAAGAAGGCGTAGTGGGTGACTCTCCTGGAGGTCAGCATCAACCATCGTGATGGAAGACAGAGAGGCATCTCTCAGGTGATTAACAGAGAACATTTTCATTTTGGAGGCGATAAAATTAACAAATCATCCTTTGTCTCACTTAACAACAGACTGAAGGTCGTTTTCGATATCAGTCACTATTTTGACCTTATCAAACTAATCAAAATTAATATCATACATTATTAATACGTGAGGGTGTATCGGAACATTGTTTAAGTTTCTGCTTAAATCTATCCGTAATCATTCACCATCTATCTACTTCAGTCAATAAGTAAACATTAATTGTGTTTATAATTCAGCCTATAATTAAATATTAGTCATGCTTATATCCGCGTGTATAAATAAAAGTTTTTGTGGGTCCCGGTGAACACTGGTCATCTTTATACTTGAGACACTAGTTTTACAGTGGTCGTTTTTATACTTGAGTCAATAGGTAAATATAGAGCATGTTTATATGTGAGCCTATGCTTAAATACTGGCGTGTTTATAAGGGAATGGTTTGTGTAATAACGACTCTTCTTTTTTTAGGCAATACCGTGTTAGTATCAATTTACTCTAATCTATGAACGATAGTTGACTTATATCTTGCAAAAAATTTCTCGGAAGTTAGGAAATTAGTGAATTTCAACAGGAGCAAATATTAGAATGGCATCAGTGTGGCAAGTTAAATAAAGAAATTGCTAGATTTTTCCCGGTTAATCATCAAACAGTTAATAATATTGTCAAAACATTTAATGAAGAAGGCCATTGTCGTGTGGGACAACGTTCAGAAAGAGGAATCCTCGAGTCTGAGTGAGCGAAAAGGACGCTGAAGAGGGAAGTCATAAGAAACCGTCGTCAGAGCATCAAAGATGTCGCCAAAGTATGAAAATATCACCATATGCTGTGAGAGAGACACTGAAAGAGCTAGGCTATCAAAGAAGAGTTGCAAGAAAGAAACCCTTGATTTCAGAAGTTAACAGGAACAGGCGTATGGACTGGGCAAGAGAATTCAAGAGCAAATATGAATTTTGGCAGTCTGTAATTTGGTCAGATGAAAGTAATGGTGTGGGGTGCTGTTTGGTTTGGATGAAAATCTGAGCTGATTCTTGTTGACGAGTGGTTGAATTGTTCAAAATACTGTCAAATATTAGGGAAAGGACTACTTTTACTATGTGAAACCAAACATATTGACAAGAATGTCTACCTTTTTCAAGAAGATGGAGTACCATGCCATACAAGCAAAGTAGGCCAAGGTCCTGACATGAATCCAATAGAGAATGTTTGGAAGCACCTTGACTGAAAAACTCGAGAGCGTGTAACCAAAATCACATCAGTGGCAACCCTTAAATAAACATTGCTAAAGGAGTGGCCAAATATGGATCAGACAATTGTTGATAACTTGATCAAATCCATGAAAAATCGAATACAAGCACTGAAACTAGCAAATGAAGGACCTACTCTATGCTAGTTCCAAATACTGTTTATTTGAGTAGGGATTACGTAATTAAATTTTGAAATTGGATGTAGTTTATTTCTCCTGGCTAAAAACCTTTTTAGGCCACTGTAGTTGCCTTTGTATAGATTGGTTCTTAACCATCGTCAATGTAGAGTTCTATATTTTGTTAATTATCTTAGCAAGTGTGTGAAATGAATATATTTAAGCATCCGCCATAGTTTCTCCTGATTACTTCAAATAAATAGATACAATAAAAATAAATTATTCAAATTAATTAATTAATTTGGACGATAAAAATGCTAAATATGTTGAAATATTAGCCCTTAAAATAACAAGTAGGAATTTCACTTACCATGAAAATGACAATAAAGAATACATTTCAGAAAGACAGAAGATGCTGATTGACATCGCATTTAAAATTTTGAAGATCGTAGTTGACATGAAAGCGATAAATCGGAAGAGAATTCCACAGGCGAGAAAAGAAACTATTAGAATAGAACTTGCGGTTACATTTAGCTAATTCAGCAGTAAAACGATGAGACCTAATTGCTAATCAAGTAGAACGCATAAATTCATGCAGTCGATATACCATAGAGGAGAACTCATGAAAACAATTGCTATGAAGATATAGAAAAGGCAGAGGGAAGCCAAGTAACGGCGGTGGAAAAGTTACTGATGTCGAGATGCCAGGTCAGGATCGATAACATTAAATACCCTTTTTTGGATTTTGTCTAGAATTCCAAGATATATAGAAGAAACACCAGACCAGATATGGCAGCAATATCCAATGCACAGAAAATGGTACGTTTATGAATGTGAAAGATGAATTTTGACGATAATAATTTGTCTGGCACGAAACACAGAGAACCAACATTCCAAGCAGTAAATCCATTAATTGATTCAATATCATAATTTCACTTCATGTCAGTAGAAAACGTGAGATGAAGAAGGTGCTAGGAGTTATCTTCCTGGAGGTTAGCATCAGCTAAGCTGCTTGCATCATGTCTGTGATACTAGACGGTTCTGGTGGCTGGCACGATCATCAAAATGGACCCCGCTGAATAGGCTATGAGAGCCCCTTTAGTAGGCCTAGTATAGAAATAAATGCGATATGGGAACCGTTGATAAATGAAGAAAGACAAATGCCTGAAAGGCGTCAACAGGAGCAGGATTAGTAGCCGCAGTTAGAAAACAGATCCCTCGATGACTGCTGCCAAGCAGTAGTAGTAACAGAAGCAGTAGCACCAAAGTTAGATTTAAGGGTCTAATATCACCACTAAGAATTCTCCTACTAGGAAATAAAGTAGTGAAATAGAAGTATTTGTTCTTGAATTTGGTGTCATTGTGATTGTGAGCAAACTTGGTCAATGGAACGAGATTAAGCAAACAGTTCAGTTCAAAATTCGACAAACACCTGACGAAAGTGATTAGTACAAGACACTATGAATTATTTTTTTTTCCCCCAGAAATTCAAACAGGCTTCTTGATTGTTGAAAGTTGATTGGCACTGCAATCAATTTCGGTCAGAAAATAGATGTCGAGCTGTCTGAAGAATAAGCGCAGGTATTTTCTATTAACGCCTGCAGACGTTGTCCGACTCCCATATATCAAAAAAGAAGCCAGGACTACGATTGGACTTTTCCACCGTTAGCATGTCTTCCTTACAGGACGTAAAGATTGGCGTAAAAATCCAGTCATTTGTCGTGCAAAACCGAGCTCCCCGTCGTTCAGAGGTTTACGACCACATCACGTTGAACACCGGTTACTGTACGATCGTTGAAAATAAACAAAATCGACCCTGTTCACTACCAAGATAGGTGACCGTTTGATAATACAATGTATTTTAAGCTTGTATGTGCAGGAAGTGCAATGGATAATGCCACGAAATTTTTAATCGGAGAACCGAGTTCCAATAACATTTAGGGTGGTTATATTCACTTATACGCATTTACCCTTGGGAAAGGTATGGATCCAATACTTCTCCCCCAGCTATGGGTTAATTATTAAGATTTGTATCCCTAAATCATTATTTCCAAAAACGTTCTTACAGTCTAAAAATAGGTTGATAAGGCGTAAAAACAAATAATCAGTATAAACATTTAGAGTGAGGATAGATAAATTTATGGGTAGATAAATTCTTTTAATTTGTAATCGTTATTGAGTTAGTAGTTTTGTTGTATAGAAACACTGACTAAACTTCGCTATACTTATTATTGAAACATGGCCTCTTCCATCCACGATGGGAACAACTGCAAGAACAGTAGCAAAATTGTGTCGCTAAGGCGTAGATCTTTTCAGTCATACGATTGTCGCACTGAACTCCTGTATTCTCAGTCCATGTTTCACGTGATTAGACCCTTTCTTTACTCAACCCTTTGTTTACAGTGTTTTCCTTACTAACTTGCGACTAGATAATTACCTGCCACAAGGATCTAAAAATATTTTCTGACTTTAAATAACCTGCAAAATGATTGACAATACGTAAAAAAAACGAATCAATCATTCAAGAAACATATATAATATCAGAAAGACAAAAAATCCAGTTGCAATTAGATAAAAGAAGCAGTTTATTTCTCACCATCACCAGATGCCGTTGTTCAAGACCAGACAACAGCCGGTATTTTGAAAGCAGATTTTCCTGGTAGGCATGCCCAACCTATTTGGGTCGACTGGGGTAAAACAGTCTTCTTAGCTTTATTTAGTTTTTGGCTGATTCTCGCTCGGCCTCGGACACATGCGGGTGTCACTCCTCGTCTTAACATCTGATTCATGCGTCGTAAAAGGAAACGGCAAAATGGTTTTCATCGCACCTGACAATTAATCATTGCTTTGTCTCGTTCCAAAACTGTCGAGAGTTCGACTGATTTTGCGCATCTTATGTCAGTATTGTTTCTCCTTTGGGTCGTTATCAGTCGACCAAGATCGCGACGTATTTATTAAAAAAGAAAGAAAGACGTAAGTATTGTTGGAAAGACTTTTACATACGCTTACATTATAAGTCTGTGTTCGACAAGACAGAGATTAATCGAGAGATTGCCCGTCTACGTCTAAACGGCTGCTGGTCGTTTATCTTATTGCGTAAATGACAAAAAAAGCTATTGACGGGTTATAGTTTGGAGAGAGAGAGGGGGGAGGGGGAGAAACCAAGATACGATCTAATGAAGATAGAGGGGGGGGAAGAAGTGAAGAAGAATGTGTAAGTATGAGGATAAAAAGGTCAAAAGATAAAATAAGAGAGCGAGATGAGAGAAGGTAAAAGAAAAGAAACTGAAGCTATGTAAAGAAGAAGAGGAAGAAACATTCTATGCAAAGTAAAGCAAATAGGAATAAGATTTCCAAAACTTGCAGTTGATATTAGAATTATTTACTAATTTCTTCGCCTGAAATAGATCAAGAAATAATAATAATAATAATAATAATAATAATAATAACAGCAACAACAATAATCATACTGAAATCGAAATCTCAAAAATATGGGACATCGGAACATCAATAATTCCTGTTGTAGCTGGAGCCCTCGGATTGGTTAGAAAAGATTCCAGTAGACTAAATGAAGGGATTCCTGGAAGCCCATGCCTCAAAGAAATACAAAAAAAGTTCTCACGAGTACAGCCCACGCTTTACAAGGCGTTTTATCTATGTATTTTTTTTCTCAGTGGAAAGTGTCATGATACCATTTCTAATCTTAGGTCTCTGGACTGGCCCCGAAAAGAAATGAGTACACATCAGAAATCAAAGGATTTATAATAATAATAATAATAATAATAATAAGAAGAAGAAGAAGAAGAAGAAGAAGAAGAAATCGAAATCTCAAAAATGTGGCACATGGGAACATCAACAATCCCTGTTGTAGTTGGAGCCCTAGGATTGGTTGGAAAAGATTCCAGTAGACTAATTGAAGGGATTCCTGGTAGTCCATGCCTTAAAGAAATACAAAAAAAAAAAAATTCTCATGAATACAGCACACACCTTTCGAAGGGCTTTTTCCATGTAAAATGTTTTTTTTTTGTTTACTTTTTCCCAGTGGAAAATGTCATGATCCCATATCTGACCCTAGGTCTCTGGGCAGGACTCAGAAAAATGTGTACACACCAGAAATCAAAGGAAATAAACTTCTACTACTACTACTACTACTACTACTACTACTAATAATAATAATAATAACAAAAATTATAAAAAATAATAAGGCAGAAATCTCAGTACAGCTTGAATAGATGACTGTGAGGGCCTTTGATAATATGCCATATTCTTGGATCCTAAAGGCTTTGGAAATGCACTATCGAACCTAAACTGTACTAACTATGGATACAAAATAAAATAAGAAAGAGTTTTATCACCTGTTCTACATGGATGTCATCAAACTCTTTGCCAAAGACGACAATGATTTGAAGGATATCCTTCAATACTGTAAAATGTTTCAATGATGACATCAATATGGATTTCGGATGAAATAAACGTAGAAAAGTAAAATTCAAGAAAGAGAGAATTACGGAAACACACTCAATAGATTTAGATTTTGTCACAAAGATTAGGGTACTGTAACACGAAGAAGTACCCAGGAATTAACAAAAGAGGTGGAATAGAGCATACCGAAATGAAGCAGAAAGTAAGAAAAGAATACTTCAGGCGTGTGCGTTTGGTGTTAAATATCGAGTTGAATTCAGAAAATAGATTATCAGCCATAAATACGTTGGCTGTCCCTGTGGTGCAATATAGTTTCATTATAATTAATTGGACAATAGCTGCAATTAAAAAAATGAATGTCATATCGTGAAAGCTTCTCACTTGCCACCGCAGACATCATTCTAAGACTGGTGCTGCTCGTCTGTATGTTCCCAGATCCGGTGGTGGTAGAGGATTAGTTCAACGAGAAATGTCTTACACAACTACAACAATCGGTCTTCAAAGATATCTGGAAACTACAGAAGACTGAATGGTGATCTGTGTCAAGGAACACAAAACAAGAAAACTTGTTCAGTAATAAAAAAAAGCCAACAAATTCAAAAGGAAATCTGAAGTTGTTGAAGAAGTGCATATAAATTATAGTACCCCTGCTGCAACGGTAAAGAAGCTAAAAAGGAAGTATACGCAAATTCAATGAACCAGATGTAGAAACAATGGCAAGATAAGCCTCTTCATGGGAAATATTCCACCCGTACACAACAAACTGATGGATAGAAAACACGTACCCGCCAGTGGTTACATGGTTTTATTCTTGCTTCGCTGGACCAATGCTTTCGAACTAGATATTACCAAGCACACATACGGAAAAAATGCGTTGACCCGAAATGTAGATTTTGTGATAAATATGCAGAAACAATTGACCATCCTGTAACAGGTTGCACAGTAATAGCACCAACTGAATATAAAACTCGGCATGATAAAGTGGGCCAATATCTGTACTGGAAGATATGCAACTTTTACGGGAAGAAAATTTGAAAGAAACAGGCATGAACATCTCTCAAACCCGGTTACAGAGATAGGGCGTGTAATAAAGTTTATGGGACTTTACAATACACATAAACGTAACGACCAAAGCTAATCACCTGGCCATCGTGATCAAAGACCACCAGAAGAGAATGTGCTTTCTTATTGACATTGAAGTCCCTGCAGGCGATAATTTATCACTGAAGATCTTCAAAAAAATATCAAACTATAAAGAACGTGAATCTCAAAAATACTGCACATGAGGAGATCAACAGTTATAATTGGGGCCCTCGAATTGACTGGAAACCTTTCCGATAAACTCATTGAAGGAATTTCTGATAGGCCATGCCTTAAAAACATACAAAACATGGCACTCACAAGTACAGCCCACACGTTACAATGAACTTTATCTATGTAAAGTGTGTATGATCTTTGTTTTTTTTTTTTTTTACAAAAATGATAAGTGGAAAATGACATGAAACATGATATATATATATATATATATATATATATATATATATATGAAGAAATATAGTCTTAAGGTGTGCTATATTTGTGGGATAAAGTGCTCGATATCAGAGATAGAGCGTGTGTAAAAAAATAAAAGTGAACATAGAAGTCAACACTTAGAGGCGACAGTCTGTTTCATGCTATATGCAATAGTGGGTCTCTAATATGACAACTCAATTTATCTTTTGTTTCTCGTAAATACCGTGTGTAATTGGACGCTTAAGATTTTTTATGCAATAGATATAAACGCTCTGTTTGGTGTTACAGAACACAGTTGTGATTAAGTTCAAAGACAGGCAGGGGATCTACACACACACACACACACACACACACACATATATATATATATATATATATATATATATATATATGTATATATATATATTTACGTGTGTCATCGGAACAAGTATCTATCCATTCGAATATGGTCCTATCACTTTTAACGGGAATTATGATAGGAAACAGATTAAAACTTGGTCGACAAAGAAAAAAGAATAAAAGTTAAAAGAATGATTACGTAAGAAAAAAAATTAGCAGAAAAGAATAAATTTAAAAAAAATGACTGAAAGATAAAAAAAATTAAATTCATTTTTTTCATATAATAAACTTCACCAAGTAAAAGGCTGAAGTGCCAGTGTGTTACTTAATTAGCTGTGAGGTACGAGTGCAAGAGGAGGTAGAATATTACGAAGATAAGGAGGATAGAAAACGATTGACGCTTGACTTGAAATGTTAAGATTGTAGTCCTCAGGGAAGCATTCTTGTCGTTGATTTTTTTCCCAAATTAGCAGTTCTTGGGCGGGGGGAAGCTATCTTCCTCATTGCAAATGGAATAGTTAGGAAATGCGTGTGATTCTACTCCGTGAAAATAGAATGGTGAGTCTAGCTTTATTTGCCATGAAAAGAGCAATAGAATAGCGAGAAGCTTGAAACTTTGCGACGGTGGGGAAAAAGGGAGTAGAGTGGAAAATGTCTTCCTGCATAAGGGCACGGAAACAATTTTGAACACTGTCAAAGTTGGGAAGTAAGAACTGGTCAATTGCAGAATAATACTTGAAAATAGATGAACTGATAAATAAAGGAGCCGGGGACGGGGACGAATAGAGAAAAAAATCAACATCAAAGAGGGATGTTTAGTTTTCATTCGATATTTAATATTAGAAAACAGAAACATTGCGATAAGCTTCAATGGTGAGGGTTGGCTCTTAGTTAAAAACCAAGATTTTTAACGTTAATTTTGGAAGTGGGGTGTGCATCAGCAAAAGACATTTATTCTACTGTCCTTACTCACTGTTATGATTTTATATGCCTGCATATATCGCATCAACAGCAATGGGTGTGTAAGGTGCACATTTCCCATTTTATGATGAGGGGATCACTTCCGTTTTCAATGTATTACAGCAAGCTTCATTGTTTCTATGTAATCACAGTTAAGACTGAGAAGAGGAGAGTTAAGGCGAAGAGGAGGACAGTTAAGGCGGAAAGGAGGACAGTTAAGGCGGAGAGGAGGACAGTTAAGGCGAAGACGAGGATAGTTAAGACTGAGAGGAGGACAGTTATGACTGTGAGGATAACAACTAAGACTGAGAGGAAGGACAGTTAAGGCGGAGAGGAGGACAGTTAAGACTGAGCGGGGGAGACTTAAGGCGGAGAGGAGGACCAGTAAGGCGGAAAGGAGGACAGTTAAGGCGGTGAAGAAGACAGTTAAGACGTAGAGGAGGACAGTTAAGACTGAGAGGAGGACAGTTATGACTGTGAGGAGGACAATTAAGACTGAGAGGAAGGACAGGTAAGGCGGTGAGGAGGACAGTTAAGACTGAGAGGAGGACAGTTAAGGCGGAGAGGAGGACAGTTATGACTGGGAGGAGGACAGTTAAGGCGGAGAGGAGGACAGTTAAGGCGTTGTGGAGGACAGTTAAGACGTAGAAGAGGACAGTTATGACTGTGAGGAGGACAATTAAGACTGAGAGGAAGGACAGTTGAGACTGAGAGGAGGACAGTTAAGGCGGAGAGGAAGACAGTTAAGACCGAGAGGGAGACAGTTAGGACTGAGAAGAGGACAGTTAAGACTGAGAGGACTACAGTTAAGGCGGAGAGGAGGACAGTTAAGACTGAAAGGAGGACAGTTAGGACTGAGAAGAGGACAGGTAAGACTGAGAGGAAGGACAGTTAAGGCGGAGAGGAGGACAGTTAAGATTGTGAGGAGGACAGTTAGGACTGAGAGGAGGACAGTTAAGACTCAGAGGAGGACAGTTAAGGCGGTGAGGAGGACAGATAAGGCGGAGAGGAGGACAGTTAAGACGTAGAGGGGGACAGTCAAGGCGGAGAGGAGGACAGTTAAGACGTAGAGGAGGACAGTTAAGACTGAAAGGAGGATAGTTATGACGTAGAGGGGGACAGTCAAGGCGGAGAGGAGGACAGTTAAGACTGAAAGGACTACAGTTAAGACGGAGAGGAGAACAGTTATGACTGTGAGGAGTACAATTAAAACTGAGAGAACTACATTTAAGACGGAGAGGAGGACAGTTTAGGCGGAGATAAGGGCAATTAAGGCGGAGAGGAAGACTTAAGGCGGAGAGGAGGACAATAAATACTGAAGAGGACAGTTAAGACGGATAGGAGGGCAGTTAAGACGGAGAGATGGACAGTTAAGACTGACAGCTAAGACTGATAGTTAAGACAGTTTGAGTTCTGGTGTGAGTTTTAGGCTTAATAATCTCTCAAGTCACGGAGAATCCCTGAGGCCACATCTGTTCATCGTAACTGACGGTAGATCGTTGTCCGATTGGTGATGAATTCCTATAAATGTTTGTGTCTGTTTGATTTTGACGTCTGCAATTTGTAGATCCCCTCTTGTATTTTTTTCCTCTTTGTGGCAAACATATATTCTGTCTAATTACAACTCTTGGTTAGTTATTTCTTTTCGCTTTAGGTTAGAAGTAATTGAAAATTTTATTATCCAAGCAATATTCTAAGCCTTCTTTTCTTCAGTATCTGTATATTTCTGAGATGAGGTATTATTTACACAATTTACATTATTCGGACTATTGTCCTCGATCTTTGTCGCGATATTTATCATAACGTTTCGGCCGTTGTACGCTCTGGCCTTCTTCAGTTGGTTGGAATGTCGAACTGAACCCTTTATTTCTCTCACTGGAGTAGAGTGTTCTAGTTCCACGTGCCATGTTTTAATGGATGTCAGTTATCAGTTATCTCCTGTTAATTTCCCTCTGAAAGTTCTCCACTGCCTTAACTAGGTATTGAACTCACACTCTTTGGGTCCTGTCACTGGGTCTATCTAACGCCTTTATCCACTGTGCCTTCTTTTCCTTATTATATGTCCGAGAAACTTCAATTGCTTCTTTCTGCTACTAAAATATGTGTTAGTTTCGTTTCCAGTTTGTCTATATGTCTTCCTCGTTATTCACATGTTCAGCCTATGGCATTCTTCTGTAGAACCCCATCTCCGTTGTTTCAAATTACCACTTCATATCTGAAGAAAGCTATGCTTGATAAATAAGTGCAAAGGACATCGAAGATTTGGATCTAACTTAATGCGTAAAATTTTTCGTAGCTTATTTAATCAATTGTGCAGGTCTAAAATAGAAGTTGATTTTCGACCGGAGAAAATGAAAACGGGAGTTTGAAAAATCATGTCAACGGAAAAAAAAATGGTAAGAAGGAAAGAAATAAAGGTCGGAAAAATGAAAAACGAAGAACTCTATAAATGTAACGGAAACTCGTAAATAAAGATTTGGAGCGAATGTAAGATGAAAAAAAAAAAGAAAAGAAAAAATAAAACGAACGAAGAAAAACAAAATGGAGGCTAAAAACGAAAAAAGCAAACGCGCTCAGGCAAATAAAATATGAAATCTAAACGAAGAGTAGGAGTTTCGAGAATACAAAAAAATCTGTCAAAGAGTAAAACAAAAAGAAAACAGAAAGACGGAAAGATAAGCGATGAGTGAAAAGAATGAGTATTTCAGTTAAAAAAATACCAAAAAAAAAGTAAAATAAAATAAACAAAATAAATTCTTTCGTTTGATGTGCCATATCTTGACGAGTTACAGAGTGTTTTTTTATCGTTTTCTTTTTTAATTATTATTTTTTTCTTTCTGCTTCTCAATCTGCGCTCACCGCCAAACCCGAGCGAAAAGAAAGCAATTCATTTGTGAGTGACAGGTTTGGCAATATACACCATGCGAGCCATCAAAAACTAGACACCTTATAGCCTTGCCCTCCGCTTTTATAAATGTGCGTATTTGTGTCTGTGTGTATGATTGAGAGGGAGAAAGAGAGATTGAAGAAAGCATACATATTTCTTATATAAAACAATTATGTGCAAATAAATAAGAAAAAATACACACAGCACACGCATATATATATATATATATTTATATATATATATATATATATATATATATACATACATACATACATATATATATATATATATATATATATATATATATATATATATATATATATATATTTACATAGATGGCACAACTCAGTGAGTTTTCAATCAGCACCTGACGATTGAGTTGTGCATAAAATTCAGTGTTGTACTACTGGTGAGGAAAAAATGCATATTTTATTAATATAAATTATAGGTCTGTTATCATATATCGACAACTATTTTATTAGAACAAGTACTCAGTGTGCAATTACACACAGACACACACACACACACACACACACACATATATATATATATATATATATATATATATATATATCATCGGACTAAAGGACTAAATGCGTCACACGAAATTTTTTTGCACTTTATCATACATCTTTCCTACAAAAATAATTTTTTTGATATATAAAAATTATATGTCGCGATATATATATATATATATATATATATATATATATATATATGTATGTATGTATTACAAACTTACATTCATATAACTAAGTATGTTAGCTCTATCACTGATATTGAGCGCTTTCAATAAGTAGCTCACATATATAATATATATATATATAAATTACAGACACAAACACACACACATATTACATATATATATATACACACATATTATATATATATATATATATATATATATATATATATATACACATATTACATCATATATATATATATATATATATATATATATATATATTTATATATATAGGCGCAATTATCAAATATATATTTATTTATTCTTCTAATTTCCATATTATGGAATTTTCTATTTTTTTTGTGGCTTCCATAAGTCTCGAGTGAACATGGGACAGCGCCCAAAGGCCCGTGTATGGCCATAGTTTTGTGAGAGATCGGCTGTTGCCCATGCAGCATGTGTCTCCCTTCTCCCCGCCATTGAAGTAGAGACCAATAGAGCCTGGAACCATCGTCGTCGCAGGAATTGCCCGAACGGAATTAAACATAAAAACAGACTGCCTTAGGGACTCCAACTCCGGGTTTACCCTCAAGGCTTACTGCCGAAGCCTTTCCCGAAGCCTTGGGTATGGCCGCAAGTCATCGGCTGCAGACGCTTTGCTGGACTGTCTCTATTAAGATCTTGTCAAAATTAGGAGTAACACGTTTGGCAAAAAACTAAGCTATTCCCTCAATAATATTGGCAGATAAAGAGGCTTCAAATGACTTTGGTTGAATTGTAGCTGACGGAAGGTACACAAGTCGATACCCGATCAGTATCGGCTGATATGTTCTCGTCACTTACTGGTAAACTAAATATGTATACGAATATGCACATATTTAAGCGACAGTCGAACGATTTAAGCCAATGTTCGTCGCGGTCTCTTTCTTTTCAGAACTAATTTCACTTCCATGATGATGGCTTTCCTTCTCTTTGAAGCGCCACCATCAGAAGAGGTTATTCTACTCTTGGGAGTCATAATGAAGAGCAAGACGTTTCTTTAAACACAACACAAACGAAAGAAAATGAACACACAACAATCCAATATGGCGCCCAATGTACGGGGCAAACGGCATAAATCGAAACAAGATTAATGAACATTGCGTCGTAACCGCAAAGCGTCGTAGGCCGGGACTGTGGGGAATTTACTGCAATGTAATAATAAAAAAAAACTCTACTTGGGGAATTGTTATTAATCATATTTAGTGTAGAGAGATTACTACTCATTGGGCGAGTCAGAAATGTAACCGTAAACAAATTCACGACCATTCACGGCATAAATGTTCCTCTTCTATTTTCTCTACTTGAAAATAAAATAATAAAAACGATGGTCGCAAATATGCAAAACGATCTTTCTTTACATTGCTGTTTATCCTGTACAAGTAGAGTGTTACAAACCACGAGCAACATTTTATGGGGATATGTGGCAACGGTAACGGAGCCTTGAATATGGTAAGATTGTAGTGAACAGGAAGCAAATTACATCTCACTAATGGAATACAAAGAGAATGAGGGTTGTGCATTACCATGGCGGTTCTTAACAATGAAGGACTCGTGGAACTAATGAATGTAGTTCGTCTGAATACTTTTCATAAAAATAGCGATAGAGCAGCGAGAACCTTGCGACATTTTGTCTGTGGAAACGGGTGGTAGGGTGGAAAACAATTCATCACAAAAGAACATGGAGATGTTTTTGGACTCTATCCGGACTAGAAAGTGAAAACTTGGCAGTTCCTGTTCATATCTTATAGCAGTACTCCAATTTCGGACTGAGTTGTTTATTGTAATGATAGAGGATACCATGAGGAGTCAGGTATTTACTGGAAAGCCACAAGAAATCGTCCATTTTCCAGCATCTTTAGCGATGGATCATATGCATAAGTTCCACATGGGGTCTGTTTTGAGTTCGTCAACAATGAGATAATCATTGATCATCTCAACAGAAACAGGCCCTTGAGTCTTAACTATCAGTCTTAGCTCTCAGTCTTAACTGTCCTCCTCTCAAACTTAACTGTCCTCCTCTCCGTTTTAACTGTTCTCCTCTCCGTCTTAACTCTCCTCCTCTCCGTTTTAACTGTCCTCCTCTCAGTCTTAACTGTCATCCTCTCCGCTTTAACTGTCCTCCTCTTCGCCTTAACTGTCCTCCTCTCCGTCTTAACTATCCTTTTCTCCGTTTTAACTGTCCTCTTCTCAGTCTTAACTGTCCTCCTCTCCGTCGTGATTACACAGAAACAATGAAGCTTGCTATAATACATTCAAAACGGAAGCGATCCCCTCAGATATCTGAAGGCCTTTCAGCATGTAGTTTATTACATATGAGGTAGCCTGGCATCCCTGGAAGTGTTTTCCTCAATAATCAAGCCCTTGCTATAAGGTAGGTCCAAGAAGGTCATTGTTAATGGCCAATCTCTTAAAGTTCTCTAATGAGAACAATGTAGACATACCCCACGTTTCTAATTTCTTTTTGTTTTATTTTAACAATAAACCAATAACGAAAATGGATATATTTGTTCGAAGTAGCAAAGTGGTTGTTGACTACTGTAACCGGGTAGGACAATCTAGCAGGTAACCGTAATGGACTGGTCGTCATCGTAGTGGTAGGCAATAGGCGTAGGCAATAGGCGAAGACAATAGACGTCATCCCTATACCTCAGTCTGTATTTATGGCTGACACCAGCCAATCATATTACTGGGAGGTGGAACCAGGTGTATGCCTATTCATTACATCAAAACCTAAAAATGTCCTGGGGTCGTTAGTAAATATATATTCAAGCAATACCTCCCAAAATCTACATGCCTAGAATCTTGCTACTGATGTACCCTCTGACCTGGCTCTATGTGGTCAGTGGAGGAAAAATTACTTGTAACATTCAATAGCACTAAATTCAAGGTATTAACTTTTCATCCTCATCAAGCAAACCCTGGATTTTCTTCATACGTGACCAAAAGTTGTCCTCTCAGAGGCTGCCTGCTTTGAGCGTCTATTGGGATTCAAGCTCACTCCCGACCGCAGGAAGATCTCATATGCACGGTCTACCCTTAAAGATGCCCAGAAAATGTCCGGTTCCGTGTACCACTCCAGAAAGTATCTGATTCCTCATGACAAGCTCTATCTTTGCAAGAGTCAGCTCAGATAAAAGAAAAAAAAGTATGGCTCTCATATCTTGCACCCTAAAACCCTTTCTCCCCAGACGAAACGTTGCTAACCTTTCGCAAGACTATTACTATTTTCATGGCAAATATTCAGACGATCTCCATTTCTTAACATTACTAGTTCAGACCTTCACATCTAGGACCGTCATGCCACGCACACAAGATGGACTAATTCTCATTTCCTTCGTATTCAGTCGGTATGGAGTAAATTACACTGAGACAAATTCTTTCTTAGAATTTTTTACTTTCTGGAACAGACTCCCGAGAGGGTGCTTCCCAGATAACTTAGATCTTAACATCTTCAAATCTAGACTCAACAGTTATCTCTCTTACATATCATAATAATATGCACTTACAATACAATTATTCAGTTGCTGTCTACTTTGAGTGGGCTTACGGTCATATCACGTTGCAACATTGGTTCCGTACGATCATCTAAGTTAAGCAATGTCGAGCCTGGTCATAGGTGATCACTTGGGAATACTAGGTACTTTAAATTTGGATGTGCGGGTAGTGTAATGGATAAAGGTTTGGAATTGTTAATCGGAAAACGGAGTTCCATTTTCACAATTGGTGTTCGTTTAAGTCACTTACGCTCAAATACTCTTGGTAAAGTTATGAATCCACCTCTTCTCCTCCAGCTATGGGTTATATATTAAGATTTTCATCACTAAATCATTATTATTTCCAAAAACATTCTCACAGTCTAAAAATAGGTTGATAAGGCGTAAAAACAAATAAACAGTATAAACATTTAGACTGAGGGTAGATAAATTTATAGGTAGATAAATTCTTTTAATGTGTAATCGTTATTGAGTTAGTAATTTTGTTGCATAGAAACACTGACTAAACTTCGCTATACTTATTATTGAAACATGGCCTCCTCCATCCGCGATGGGAACAACTGCAAGAACAGTAGCAAAATTGTGTCGCTAATGCGTAGATCTTTTCAGTCATACGATTGTCGCACTGAACTCCTGTATTCTCAGTCCATGTTTCACGTGATTAGACCCTTTCTTCACTCAACCCTTTGTTTACAGTGTTTTCCTTAATAACAAACGACTAGATACTTAATACAGGGATACTTCCATGGTACAGGTGGTATCACTGGCTTGGACGAGCTCTGGCCGGCTTAGACAGGCTATGACTAGCTAAGACTAGCTATAGCTAGCTGAGACAGTCTCAGACCTGCTTGGATAAGCTATGACCAGTTAAGACCAGCTATGATTAGCTTAGACTAGCTCTGACCAACTTGGAAAAGCTACGACCAT